CTTGAGCCATAAGTGCCGAGCCTTATCTTTTTTTTTTTGAGACAGAATCTCCCTCTGTTGCCGAGGCTGAAGTACAATGGTACAATCATAGCTCACTGCAGCTTCAAACTCCTATGCTCAAGCAGTCTTCCTGCCTCAGCATCCTAAGTAGCTAGGACTAGAGTGCATGCCACTAAGCAGGGCTAATTTTTAAAATTTTTTGCATAGGCCGGGAGTGGTGGCTCATGCCTATAATCCTGGCACTCTGGGAGGCCGAGGTGGGTGGATTGCTTGAGCTCAGGAATTCGAGACCAGCCTGAGTAAGACCCCTGTCTCTACTAAAAATAGAAAAACTTGCCAGCACCTGTAGTCCTGGGAGCCTGAGGCAGGAGGATCACCTGAACCCAGGGATTTGGAGTTGCTGTGAGCCGTGATGCTACACTACTCTACTCAGGGCAACAGAGTGAGACTGTTTCAATTTTTTTTTTTTTTTTGGCAGAGATGGGGTCTTGCTATGTTGCTTAGGCTGTTCTGAAACTCCCGGCCTCAGCACTCTTCCTGCCTTGGCCTCCCATATGCTGGGATTGCAGGCATTAAGTCACCATGCCCAGATCACAAGTTTTAATATGTAGTATTTTTATTATCTCAGATTCAGTTCTAAGCATTTTCAAATTTCCATCATGATTTTTTTCTGAATTATTTATATGTATATATGCCCAAATGTATTTTTATGTGTTTTAGTGAATGACCACCATCTTAATTCTTGGGTCTCCAAATTACTTCCTAATCTGCCCTGGGTACTCTCTAGAACTAGAACTATATTCTGGGAACTTTTCGCTGGGAAGACCTATTCTCCTGAGTAGGACCAGGTCTTGGCTGGACTCACACAGCCTTCCTTTGCAGGCTCCAGGCCGGCCAATCTCTGCACTGAGCCCTCCTGCCAGCAGGTGGCACCTAATACCTGAAAACAGATCCAGGCTGTTTCTCCTTCCTGTTCTGAGGCCGCGGGGGCATAAAGCTTGCTAAGGCTTGCAGAGGATGGCCTGACCATGGGACCTGGCTCCCAGACTGCTGTCCCGTCTTCCTTGACTGGTAGCGGTCATTGCCTGGACCTCTCTTTGGTTTTAGGGTCTAATAGAGTTCTAGAATATGTGCTCTAGAGTTAAAGCTAAAGCTAGGTGGGGCACTAAACGCTATTACAATGATAATTAAAATGATGATTTTAAAGATCATGGAACATTCTTAATCTCCCTTTTCTTTAGTAACAGTCACCATATTCTCATTGCTTGTGGGACATTTTCTTGATTGATTCTGAGCCCAAGTTCAAGGAAACCTAGCAGCCTGGGCCCTGAGTTTCTTTCCCTCCCTGAAATCTTATGGTCTAGAACTGGAGTAAGAGTTGTTTTGTTTTTTATTTTTGGCAGAAAATTAGTTTCTCTACCTTTTATTGTTTATATATAATATTTGTTTTATTTCAGATTAGTATGAGGGTTCAAACGATTAGGTTACAGTATTTGTGTTAGGTACAGTCCCTGTTGTCTTCCACCTAGGAGGTATACCATATACCCTTACATTGTGCCCATTAGGTGGGAGAACACCATTTTTGTTTTTTAAGTACAGAACAACAACAAAAGTAGAGAACAGCTACGGTTATGTGAGAGGAATTTATTGAGGCATTGCTTAAATCACTTACTCTGTACAAGAGTTATTTCTAAATTAGCTTTTGGTGGTGGACTGTTTCTTGAATAATGCCACTCATTTGTTTTAGTTTTTCTTTTTTACTTAAAAATATAGAAAAGTGTCCTTTTGCTCTTTTTTTTGGAGACTGAGTCTCACTCAGCCACCCTGCGTAGAGAGCCACTGAATGAGCTCACAGCAACCTCAAACTCTTGGGCTTCGGTGATCCTCTTGCCTCAGCCTCCTGAGTAGCTTGGACTACAGGTGCACATCCTAGCACACGCTGTGATGCCTACCTAGTTTTTTCTATTTTCAGTAGAGACGAGGTCTTGCTCTTGATCAGGCTGGTCTCAAACTCCTGAGCTCAGGCGATCCATCCAGCTTAGTCTCCCAGAGGGCTAGGATTATAGGGGTGAACCACCCATGCCTGCATGTTGCTAATTTGGGCCTATACTTTGATGGTGACAATCTCATAAAAATGACAAGGAATTAGAGCAGGGTGGTGAAGGGTGGGCAAGTGGTTCTTGTGGGGGCAAAGAAAGTTTGGTAATCTTATCTAGAAGAGGATGAAGCAAGGAAGGCTTTTTAAGGATCAGTTTGAGCTGAGTTTTGAGGGAGGTGGGAAGGGTTTACTCTATATAGGTAGAAGGAAGAGAAAATTTGAAAAAAAAAAAAAGCAAAGCACAAATAACCCTTGTGTTCCCAAATGCTCCCCTGCTCACCCATAAACTAAACTCTGTCTACTAAAATTTTCTCAGCCGACTCACATGTCACCCAGCCCAAGGATTTCTTCCTTGGGAGATCCTGACCTTTCCTGGGTAGACTTAGCTTGTACCTCTCACCTGCACAGTTAACTCCCTGTGCCAAAGTGTGGCTGTCACATCTTCTTGAGCACCTGGACATCCTCTCCCTTCCTCAGGCACTCCTGGGAGCTGATGGAGTTCATTTAGAACTCATCTACCTGTGACAGTGCCTTTGTACTGGGTTTCAGGATGTTGCAGGTGAGATCCTTACCCTCTCCTGCCATGTTCCAGCTTCTGGCTTCAGTGAACCCAGGCCAATCAATAGATCTCTTCTTATAGGGGAATGAACGTCTCACAAAGGCTGTGAATGCGACTTCTATTTCAAGCTGGAGAAAGGAGGATCAGGGAAAAAAGTGATGTGGGGATTCTGGGATAAATTTAAGAAAAGCTCACATTTTGCTTATGCTTTTAGGCTTGGGCAATGTGCAAGGCAAGTCCTACACTTGGATACCAGGAATACTCCAAGAGGGGAAAGGGTTGAAGACAGATAAGGTAGGAGGGTGGCAAACTCCTTTGACAGATAATCTAGTATCTGGAAAGGATGTTAGAAGTGAGGCTGTCAAGTTGCTCTGGAGTAAATGCTGGGGTTGGTACCGTCCTTGTGGAGCCACAGGTGCAGAGCCAGGCCTCTGCTCTTCTCTGGCTGATGAGCTCTCCCTATCAGTACTTTCATGAACTTTCAGGTGGTGGTTCTGTTCTGTTGGACATGCCAGGGAGCACTACCTAGATGTTCTAGGGCAGCAGTTCTCAACCTGTGGGTCGCGACCCCTTTGTAACAATGAAAATACATCCTGTATATCAGATATTTATATTACAATTCATAACAGTAGCAAAATTATAGTTCTGAAGTAGCAACAAAAATAATTTTATGGTTGGGGGTCACCACAACATGAGGAACTGTATTAAAGGGTCATGACATTAGGAAGGTTGAGAACCACTGATCTAGAGGCTGCAGGAATTCTGGAGGAGGGCCGAAGTAGAGGCTTTTGGACCTGCAAGAAACCTTAGAGGTCATTTAGCTCAACTCTTGTCACTGTACAGATGAGGGAATAATTTAGCTCAACTCTGTCACTGTACAGATGAGGGAACAGATGGGACTTGCCCAGGCCACCCTGAGTTAGTGGCAAAGCTACAGTCATTGGTTGCTATGGTCCTTAAACATAGGTCCACCACACCAGACAATTCCTCACATCTTCTACCACCCCATCTTAGTTTCCTACTGTGGGGCATGAATAAGCAAGGACTGTGTACCATGGCCCAGAATGAAATGCTAACTGAACTGTGTGGGGACAATGCCACCACTAACCTCCAAATGCCTCTCTTTTTGTCTGCTCTTAAACTTGTGCTTCCTCAGAACGAAACTCTGGAAGGAAGAAAATGGGTCTGCTATTAGCAGGATCTTAAACCCAGTAGAGAAGTAAATGAAAAGGGCCCAGAGGATCCTAAATTAAAGGAGACAGGAGACTTTGGGGGTATTTATTGCAAACTGCTATAATTAAAGTGATATTTTACAAGTGCTTAAGACAGAGGGCAGATGGGCTCTGGGCCAGGGCTCAGCTCAGAGGTCCATTCCAGGAAGGGAAATGGCACTTGCAGGGAACATGGATTCAGTCACTGTTGCTCATTAAGCACAGAGTCATGCTGGAGCCGTCTTAGGGAGTCCGAGAGGAAAAGAAGGGTATGGAGAGAGCCAGGAAGCAACTACTTTCGATGACAAATCTTGTTCTGTTCCTACTGAGCATGTGGTCTTCCTAGAGTAGCCCTCAGAGTCAGCCAGTGACTGACACAGATCCTTCCTCTGGCCCAGGCTTCTCACCAGTTCAGAGTGTCCAGATCATCTTCATAATTGTTCATCGCAGATTTCCTTTTGCCTGCCAGAGAGTCATCCAACTTGTAGCTTAAAGATAACAGCAGGAGGAAAAGCAGGGAATGTTCCTGTTAATATAAATCTGCAGCAAACATGATTTAAGAACTGGATGTTTCCCAGGGTTGGCAGGTGTGTGGATGGTTCCCTGCTTTCTTTATCCATAGGGTGCTTCAATGCAATAGTCCTGTTAGAGATGCCAAATGGCTGAGCTTTCAAGACTTGTTCATGTTTTTGAGAACCAGTAAGGATAACTGCTTGGCAGAATCAGAGCCTAGCAGAATGCTGGGACAAGGGAAGGGTAAAGAGGGGAGTCCTGAGGTCATTCCCAGGAGGAAGAGAAAACTACTTCCAGAAGTGGCAGCATGGAGGGCTATGCTGAGGCTCTCTCAAGGGGGATCAAGGAGCTTGAGGGGATGTGATGAGCACCCCCTCCCCCCCACAGTTCTGGGTTACTATTTGGGTAGAGCAAAGTCCCAGGCGGTTTCCTGTGCACATTTCCACATGGCCTGCATGAGGCGGGTGAAGCCCATGTCTTTGGGCTTTTCCAGGCCTCTCATCAGCCGTTGCTTCATGATGGAAACAAATTCCTTATTGCTCAGCTCCCCATTGCCTAGAGGAAGAGGCAAACACAAAAGGGATTAAGAGGAGGACTTGGGTCAAAGGCATGGAGAAAATTCCATTGTATACACAATGTGGGTTCCAAAGCCCAGCACGTCACAGCCAAACTTAATTCTCTTGGCTTAGAGTTGACTAGTTTGCTCCTTCCTGATGTCTGTAACTGCAATTCAGTGACACGTTTAGTTGAATGACAGTGTAGGATTATGCCAGGTCCTGTACCAGGTGTTTAGAATAAAGAGATAAACAAGCGTTATGTTTTGTCCCTTGAAATGCCCCCAGGTTGTGGGAGAGACATTATTTTAAGTGTGGCCAGTGCTATAATAGGATAAACAGAGTTATGGGGACACAGAGGAAGAATATCTAATGCAGTCTGGGAGTAGCGCAAGTACAGATCAGTAAAGGCTTCCTGGAAGTGACTCCTGAGTTGAATGTCACAGGACTAGCAGGACTCAGCCAAGTAAAGGGAGTGAGATGGAGGAAGCTTTCCAGGGAGGAGAAGTAGCACAAGCAAGAGCACAGGCGAGAAGCAGCATGGTTGCTGGGCAAGTACAAGCAGAGAGGCTGAGATGGGAGACCTGCCTTGAGCCCAGGAGCTCGAGGCTACAGTGAGCTATGATTGTGCCACTGCACTCTGGTCCAGGTGACGGAGCAAGAGCTTGTCTCTTAAAAGAAAAAAGAGGTGGGATCTGGCAAGTAACTAAAGAGGCTGGCAGGAGACAGGCACCCAGGGTCTGTATTCCTGCTAAAGGGATGGCACTTTTTTCCCAGGCAATTGAGCATCAGCATAAGACGGGAAGCAGAGGGAGTTTCCATTTTGGATTGATTTCTCTGGTTGGCTGAGTGAGGATGGATTGGAGGGTAAAACTAGAGTCCAGGAGTCCCGAGACTGCTGCCATAGTCTCTGTTACAATAGATAAGGGCTTTTCGTGGTGGAAACCCAAATCAAAATTTGACTTTGAGTTCAGCCATTGCATTCTGAGACCTGTCTTTATTTATATATTTATTTATTTTAATTAGGCCCAGGCAAGGTCCAAACCCGCCGCCCCTGATGTGCACGGCGGCATGCCAACCACTGAGCTATGGTGGCCCCACAGAGGCCTTGATTTTTTTTTTTGAGACAGAGCCTCAAGCTGTCCCCCTGGGTAGAGTGCTGTAGCATCACAGCTCACAGCAACCTCCAACTCCTGGGCTTAAGTGAGTCTCCTGCCTCAGCCTCCCAAGTAGTTGGGACCACAGGCACCTGCCACAATGCCCGGCTATATTTTGGTTGCAGCCGTCATTGTTGTTTGGCGGGCCCTGGCTGGATTTGAACCCGCTACCTTAGGTGTATGTGGCTGGCGCCTTAGCCACTTGAGCCACAGGCGCCGAGCTGAGACCTTGACTTAAAAAAAAAAAAGTCGTTAGAGTGAAAACAAAAATACGGAGGTTAACAGGTCTATAGCAGTGCTGTTCACTGGAACTTTCTATGATGCAGGGAAATGTTTTATATCTGTGCTATTCAGTACAGTAGCCACCAGCCATATGGGACTATTGAGTACTTGAAATATGGCTAGAGAGATAAGATTTGAGTTTCTGATCTTATTCAATTTTAATTAGTTTAAATTTAAATGGCCACAAGTGACTTATGGTATATTGTAGACAGGGCAGCTCTAGAGAATGAACCCATCCCTGCTTGAGAATGAGGCATCTCCTTAACCTTGCTCTGAGGCTTCCTTTGAATTGGACCTTGATTTGTGGGTACAGGCTGGAGATTTAAATAATTGAAGTCCAACTTAATAACTTAAAATAATTCAAGTTAATAATCATCTATTATGTTCTAAAGGTAAAAAGGACTTGTAACTACCTTTAAAAACCTCACAGTTTAATAAGGAAATTAAGTCTGCTACACAGAGATACAGTACGTATAGTACGTACTACCACCAAAAAAACAGAACCAAAGTAAGGAATAAAAAACCCAGAGTGATTGATTACGCTGGGACCAAGAGGGCTGGAGCATTTGAGCTGGCTCAAGAACGCCATTAGCCTAGAATTCTGGAGGAAGACAAATGATAAATACCGGCTGGGAGATAAAAGAGGGAGGGATTGTAGTATAGAGGGGGGCAGCATAGCTTTGGTCCATGTTCTGGTTTTGCCATCTACTATCCCACTTTTGTGATCCTGGGAAATTAACTTAACCTCTCTGAGTCTCTGCTCCTCATCTGTAAAATGTGGTTAACACTTAACATCAGAAGATTATATAAGCAGGTTCACTTTCTGGCTCATAGAAAGCACTTAAAAAAAAAAAAAAGTGAGCTTCCATTGTTGTTACATCAGCTAATGTAGCTAAAAAAGCAGAACCAGAGTCCTTAAGTAGGTTAAACTACAGAGTAGCCACAGGTACAAAAGACCATTCTGTGAAGCTGGAATGTTATACCCATGGGCTGTAAATGCCTGAAACGGGCGGGAAGGTGGACACATTAGTACTGTCTTCTTTCTAGAGATACTCAAATATTTGAGAGCTTCTTATCTACTAAGCAGCAAGATGAGTCTAGTATTTTTGTTTCCACTTTTTTTTTTTTGGTTGAGACACAGTTCTACCCTATCCCTGAGCAGAGTACAATGGTGTCGTAGCTCACTACAACCTCAGGCTCAGGCTGTGGGCATCCTGCTGCTTCAGTCTCCGAAGCTGCTGGGATTACAGGTGCTCACCAGGGCGCCCAGCTAGGTTTTTCAAAAGTCAGCGTCTCATTCTCGCTCAGACAAGCCTCGAACTCCGGAGCTTAAGCAGTCCCCCCATCTCAGCCTCCCACAGTGCTGGGATTACAGGCAAGTGTCATCACGCTGGCTTTGTTTCCACTTTTAAGATCCTTATGGCTATAAATTAATTTAGGCCTACAGGCAAATTGGAATTACGAGAAGAAATGGACAACACAGACCAAGGCCAGGGCCTACATTCCTCATTATTATGATGATGAGGACTGAGCCACTCAAGTGGGAAGAGGGTAGCTTGAAGAGGTTATAGGCTAACACACTGTGCTGTTTGCCAGGCCCCATTATAAACAACATCCCTAAGGGCAGGTGAGGCTCAGTTTTCCCTCCTGACTCCGCAGGGCCCCACTCACCATCACAGTCGAACAGTGCAAATACCACATCACACACGTGGTCTGAGAGCTCCACTTTAGCCACTGTTCTGGCCACCTGCTGCATGGTCACTGAAAAAAGAAAGGAAGATGCTGTATTACCATAGCAGAAGGATTTCCTTTTGCTTTCTCTGAATGTGGGGGATATAAATGCTCAGTCAAAAGTTAAAAACTTTAATTATGCATTTAGGTTGCATATAAGAAAACGAGAATTTAGTTTTTATTTGTATTCCCTTTCCTTTTTACCTCAGTTTCTGTTATTTTCTACTGTTACTACACTTTAGTAGGGATATATAGCTCATTAAGAATGCCTGATAAGGGCTTGGCGCCTGTGGCTCAAGCGGCTAAGGCGCCAGCCACATACACCTAAGGTGGCGGGTTCGAATCCCCAGCCCGGGCCCGCCAAACAACAATGA